GACACTTGTTTAAACCATTAAACATACAAGTAGAAACAGATACTGAAATGGTCATCGTAAATTCGATATTATCTCAAAATCTGCTCAGATACACATTAACCTTTTTGGGGAAAAAATAATTTATGACTCCATATAGTTATATGTTAAGATGAAAACAATTACACCTGGTTTCTTTTTCAATAAATTCTATGAATCATCAGACTGACATTGATATAATCCGATACGAGAAGTTGATAACCATATGGTCAATGTTTCCTTATCAACTCCAGACAATACAGTCATATCAGTTAGCCATTAGAAGGTTACCTTATATAATATCTTCTATAGTTTGGTTTGTAAGTGTTAGTTATGTTTTTACGAGTTGATCACGGATTGATATCAGTTAGACAACCATTGAAAAACAGCCAGGGAGTACTGGACAGCCAGCTGTTTCATCCTAGTTTGGGAATCATCGTCAGTACGCACCCACACCACGGGGTTCGAACCCAGGACCTTCCGGTTACAAGGCGAGGTCATGTACCATTCAGCCACTGGGACTCAATTCAGTGGCAGTTGTATGAATTCTAACTTCTACCAATTCATGATTTAGTGCGACCACCAAACAATGTCATCGGTTGGAATTCTATCCTCACTTCCGACTGGATGGACCCCACTGGTCACGACTTCTCACTAGAACTCCAGGAAACTCCATCCAGATTAATTTTCTATAGTTTGGTTTGTAAGGGTTAGTTATGTTTTTTTAATCTGATGCTCGCTAGTGACTTGCTAAAGGATGGAGTTTCCTGGAGTTCTAGTGAGAAGTCGTGACCAGTGAGGTCCAATTAGATATCACGTGTGTGGATAGATGTCCCACCAACGACAATGGTTGGGGTAGCGCTAAATCACGAATTGGTAGAAGTTAGAATTCATGAGCCATTGAATCGGGTCCTAGTGGCTGAATGATATACGAGCTTGCCTTGTAACCGGAAGGTCCTGTGTTCGAATACCAGTGGGTGCGTACTTCCGATGATTCCCAAACTAGGGGGATGAAACAGCTGTCCGGTACTCTCGGCTGGTTTTCAATGGTTCTCTAACTTATATAATATCACCTAAATTTGATGACTATTATCACCGATGATATTCCTAGTTGTGGTCGACTGGATTATGCATTATCAGATAGTGCATGGGGAGTGAGAAGACAGGAATATGCTGAGCCGATAAGGAAACAGTAGAAGGTGTGGACTTCACCGATGATTTATGTTTATAATGGTACACAAACCCCAAGATTTGCAGGCGAAAACCAACAAACTGCCTGAAGTGGCAGGCAGTGAACATGGGACTCCAGGTGAAAATAGAGAAGACGGAGGTGATAAAAAGAACGAATCAACAGGGAACAACAAGCAGCTCCAATTACCATCAGTGGAAGAAACTTGGAAGAGGTTACTTCCTCCACTTATCCAGACACCATCGCTTAAAACTACAGGTAAAATGGGGAAGGCACAATAAGCCTTTATCAACCTGAAACCAGTTTGGAAGTCTTCTGAAATTAGCCACCAGAAAGGACAAGATTCGGATTTTCACACACACACGCACACAAATGTGAAGTCAGACATTCACTACTTCTATACGGGTCAGAAACTTGGCCACCGGCATCACTTAATGCAATTCCAACAAGCTACTGCAGGCTTTTATCAACAACTGCTCCATACTCAAGATTAAATGGCTGGCCAGAAGGAATTAGCTACAAGAAACTCTGGCTACAAACCAACAAAGAACCTTTAACTCACCGGATATTTAAATGAATTTTAGATTTTCCTATCGATTGATTGGACAGAAGTGCTCGGTCTCAGGTTGACACGTCGGCTTCTTGTGTAGATGCTTCGACGATGTCTGGGCATGTAATTGGTATTTAATTGGTGGATGCTGACTAGGTCTAGTGGCCCTCATGGCCCAAGTGGTCTAGTGGATAATGCTTTGGCGTTTGAAACTATGGGCACTGTGCTCAAGTCTCGGTGGGAACATCATCACTCACTGAGAAATGCAGGTACATCCAGACGACGAGTGCCAAACAAGACGAAACGCGCGTTATCAATGATTCCATTGCTAGTCACTATCCACCAATTAAATTCTCAACAGATATGTAGGAGAAAAATAGAGAAGACGTGCGCAGACACCACTGATGGGACCGTCAAGCGACATCGCGCGCTAGGTCATTGCTGAAGTAGAACCCTAATGCGAAACGGCGAGTGGGGCGTCACTTCGCGGATAGAATGGAGGAGATCATACGTGGCGGAAATGATAGACTACAGGAGAGCCTACATCCAAATGAAGAAGAGAGCGACGAATAGAACAAAGTGGAGTTGTATTGCTGAAGCTCTATGTTCCACTTGGAACTCAAGGGAACAATAATAATATAATATAATAAATTTAACAACCCATCTCGATGCCTTCTAACTACTCTGTATGATTAAAATTAACAGGGAGAGAGAGAGCGCTGGACAACTAATGTAATCAAGCTAAGCGGGCAGATAGATAGCACTCGTTTAAACAACAGCTAAGTAGTATAGCATGTGATGATTGCAGTAAAAGTAGAGAAACCTAGTGAGGTGTACGTGTTTCTCCTACGTCAGTTGGTAGGACACCAAGATGGTAACCTTTATCGAATATTATAACTGAACTGACAGATGCATAAAAAATTAATTTACCTTGTTGAAATAAATTAATCTCATACCCTCATTTATTCTGTCTTCGTCCATACAACTGACCTGAGATCTACTCAGCATAATTTAATTAACCCTTACGTAACGTGTGTTGTCAATCTTACATCTCTAATCGGTTTCCACCTTCTATTTCTGACTGTCGAATATTCTTGTAATTATTTCCATATGCACACTAACAATCTTAATAACGCATTGTATCTTTTCCATTCTATTAGTTGATTACGTAATATCCGTCGCCTCCATCTCCATGCTAAGTAACTAAGGCATGTAATGAAAAGATATTCTACATTGATATTAAAATTGCATTCCGTTGACGAAAACCGACGAAATAATTTCATGCACCCGATTTTGAACAAAGAAAGAATGAATATATATTTTCAGGAGAGAAAGAGTTCATTTTTTATGTCATATCTTTTCTTCAGCTGCTGACAACGTAAAACAAATGCATCGGTGGTTCAGCGGTAGGATACTAACCAAATACTCACGTGGTCCCGGTTTCCAACGCTGACCGACGCACTCCTACACTACGCTAAGCTGGTAGTAGGGTCGTCAAAGAGAGAAGGTTGAGCGTGAGGCTAGCAACCCTACCCCGTAAAAATAAACACCACTGCTACCAAAACTTTAGAGTTCTTACCTGAAGCCGTATGTCCCATTGGGAACATAAAGCAGACCACTCACAGGCAACTTCATGTAATCTAGTGGATAACGCTTCGGTACCGGGTTCGAGTCCCAGTGAGAACACCATCACATTCACTGAGGATTGCAGGAAAACATCCACCCAACGAGTTCCAAACAGAATGAAATGCGCGTCATCTTGGATTCCACTGCTAGTCACTACCCACCAAATTATTCCAAGTTTATCCTCAGACATCGTCGAAGTTTCCTCAAAAGGAGCCGACATGTCAACAGAGGTCGAACATTTCGGTCTAATCAATTAACGAGAAAATCAAAACTAAAGCAAAAATATTCAAGTGTTGGTTTGTAGGGATTTGATTGATTGGTTACAGAATTTCATCATGAGTTGACATCAGTTAGAGAACCATTGGAAAACCTGGGAGTACTGAACAGCTGTTTCGTCAACCTAGTTTGGGACTCTTCAGTAGTACGCACCCAGACCACGGGGTTCGAATCCAGGACCTTCCGGTTACAAGACGAGCTCGTAAACCATTAAGCCACTGGGACCCCATGCAATGGCTGGTCCATGAATTCTAACTTCTGCTAATTCACGATATAGCGCAACCGCTAGTCAATATCTTCGGAATCAGTTGAGGTGGGAAGCCTTAACTGGTAGGATTCAAGCTACCCCAAAGATAGGACTAAACGCATTACACTAATTACTAACTAGTGTCCAAACAAAAATATCCAACACAATCCTACAGGAGTTTGACAATTCATGTAATCAATATAATGGAATAAGATCCGAATATCCAACGCCAATGTAAAGTCAATCAGCGATTCGATATACATTCAGAGACTTGACGCGCCACAAAATCATTTTCAACAGATATCAAACTCTAATCAATAAACAGCTGCCTTCTCTGGCTCTATACTTAAAGGGCCAGACAGCCGAACAGAAACGTTAAGCACAAATAGGAACTGTGTGTGCGTGTCAGGCAGCGAACCAACCAAGAACAGATCGCCCAAGAAACATGCCATAGGAAATGCAAATGTAGGAGATCGTTGAGTGATGTGACGCGCTAGGGAAATCTTCAACTCAAACCCTAATGGAAAATGAGTTGGTCGTCTGAAAGGCACATGAAGAAGATCGTTTGGCAGGGGTAGATGACAGCTTATGGGTAATCTTGAAGCCAGCTAGAAAGAAATGCAGAGAACATGGTGAAATGGAAATATACTGCCAAAGACCTTTGTTCCATTAGGAACCCAAGGGTTATGACTCTCGCCAACATGCACATGGTCCGGGGTTCGCCCCCCTGACAACGCACACCTGATACCTATGGTCGGCCTGCGAAATTTGGGCTACCGATATCACATGCTGAAAATTCCATACCTGTACCAAAAAATACGGTGTGGAACCAAGCTGTAATCAAAAATCAAAAATCAAAGACAGCATACATTACTGACTGAAATGAGTAGTCAGATCGCGACCGTCTAAAGAACACCAGACGGCAGTTTCAATCGATTGGAGACACCTGCTCATATCACCTGTAAACTGTGATTTACTCATCTCAGCCGACTGAATCATTTCAAACTATCCGTATTCTGAGTACCACCATACTTGAGAGTAGTTGAAAACCATTCACGTCAACACTATAGTGTTTAGTTAAAAAGGAAAAAAAGGCATTTCAACTTGGCGCGATTTTTTTATTTAAAATCTATCTACACATTTAAACAATTCTATTTGCACATTGTACATTGAATATTGAATGAATGCAGCATTGTTTCTACAATTTCATTCTTTTTTCTTAACAGGTTTATGTGTATATGACTTTAAATACGAAGGGATTGAGCTACGTAGAGCACGTTCAGTCCGTCGTGACATTTGTGCTTTGTCGGAAGATGACGATGATTTGGCTATATGTGCAGCCAATGTATTCGATGGGACATTGATCAGTCGAGGATATGGTGTCCCATAGTGTAGAGTTAATTCAATCCTCAATTCAGCTTCTTTGATATGATTCTATTTGATTGAAATATAAAAGAAGAAACACGTTAGGTAATTTATTCAACATAAGACTAACGATATAAAATTCAATAAGAAACATGAAACGTTATTCCATATAATAATAATAATAATAATAATTTCCTTTATTCCAGAAACAGTACTAGTGGTACAGTGTGGAATTTTCAGCACATATCTACAATATTTGCATCTAATTTTATCAAACATTTAAAAGGAGTATTTCAAAAAATAAATATAAAGACAACAACAGCAAAAAAAATATAAAAAAACACAAAAATAATTGAAAAAATGCGGAAAAATACCAAGAAGTAGAAAGGAAAATAAACAGTATATAATAATATCTCAGTATTGGGTAGTGGAAGCTATGATATGATTATGCATGGTGACAGTAAAGCTATAGTCATACAAGAAGTTATGAAATGATATTTAAGAATGTTTATCGCCAAGATGATCAGTTAATTTGGTTGAAACAACTCTAAACAATCTTAAAATAACATTTCAGGGTTGTTGTTTTGTTTTTTATTGTCAGGTCTAATGCAGTGTTTGTAGTGGTAGTGTGAGTAATCCTGCATAATACAAAATTTTAAGATGGTGGTAATGGCGTTCACAACCAATGATTGTCAGTTAATATTGCCGAACAAAAAACAACAACCACAAAAACTAATAATTACATGATGGTTAATGACAGGACAATTTTGTGATACTCATAGTGCTAATATAGTCAGAACCAGTAGATACACAAAAGAAGGAGTACAGTAAAGTAAAAAAGTAAGCCAGTGTTAATAATTTAGGTAGCTAAGTATGTTTAAGAAGGAGTTCACATTAGAGTACAAAATAAGAGAGAGATAAAAGAGCCTAAAATTATGATTATTAACAACAAAGCAAGTCATAGGTTTCGCGCTTAACATTGTCTCTGTCACTTAGAACACGGGCCAAATATGGTATCGTTGAGTTCCTGTACTTGGTTGTACGAGCATACAACCAGTTTGTTTATTAGATGTATCACACAGTGAAACAGTATTATTATTTACTGGATGACGTTTCAAATGAAGCTGTTTCTAGGTGAGTCTAAATGGTTTAATTTAATGCCAAAAACTAATAACCCCAGTAGGATGTATGGTGTTGTTAAAGTTCATAAGTCAGGATACCCTATTAGACCCTATTAGTTGATTTTAGAAATTCACCTACTTATGAATCAGATAAATATTTAGCTCTGGTATTAAATCCCCTTAAAAGCCACTCAAAATCTAGACTGACAAATTCTTATGAACTAAAACATAGATTAGATAATTTAAAATTAGATAATGAAGAAAAAATGGTTAGTTTTGACATTGTCAGTTTATATACACGTATACCAATAAATATGGCTATAGAGGCAGTCAGAAACATCTTGACCAAGAACTCGAACTTAGAGCGAAAGTGTCACTTGAGGACATAATGCTGGGAGTGTAGCATATGCCTGACTTCCACAGTATTTAAATTCCAAGGGAAAATATACAAACAAACTGAGGGAGTTGCCATGGGATCACCAATATCCCCAGTGGTAGCAGATATATTCATGAATAAGTGGGAAAGCGTAGCGATTGAAACGTTCACCCCCACCCCAAAAGTATGGTGGAGGTATGTAGATGACACATTCACTGTACTTAGAACACAGGATATAGATAGATTTTTCGAACACATTAACTCGAAGGTGGAGGCAATTCAATTCACTTATGAATTGGAAAGTCAGGAACAGGGGAACTTCCAATGTTAGATTGCAGCGTAAAAAGGAAAGAAGATGGGAAGTTAAACACACTAGCGTGTTTACAGGAAACCCACACATTCAAACAGATATTTGGATTTCCTATCATCCCATCCTATGTCAGTGAAAATAGGATTGGTGAAATGTTTAAGTGAAAACAGAGCACAAAAACTTAGTAGTACCAAGTAAAATCGAAGACAGGAAGTGAGACATATAAGAGATACCTTGAAACTTAATAATTAACCTGATAAATTAGTCAGAAAGTATGTAGGGAAATGTAAAAGTAAAATAAATAATGATAGTAGTGATAGTGATAATAATAAGAATGATAATAATAATAACAGTAATATTAATGACGACATGCATGTAAAATATGCGCAAGACAACACCGAAAATAAGGAATCTAAATCATCAGTAGTAATTCCATACAAGGAAGGAACCTCGGAAACCACCTTACGCAGAATTCTTGACAAAGCGCAGAAATAAAAGTGGCTGACATTCATTCACCCACAAACTCAATTAGAAACAAGCTTTGTCGGTTAAACTATCCTGTGGAGCCTTTAAAACAAAACAATTTAGTTTATTTAATACCCTACCTGCAATGATTGTCTCATCAAATACATAGGTCAAACTAGTAGAACAGGGGCAGTCAGACTAGTCGAGCATGGAAACCTAGCAAAATCTAGATTAGTTGACCCGAATAAGATAAGAAATCTAGAAAATAGTTCAGCTATAGCACTCACTTCATGCAATTTCACACAACCATACAATAGGATAGGATGGGATAAGATGACAGTTTTAAAATCTAACGGAACTACCAAGGTGGAGGGAGAGACTGATAACAGAAGCTTTGTTTATCGAATCAACTGCAAACCAACAAGTGTAATAGGAATGATTCAACACCTGTCCAAACGGATATCTGGAAAATTCTACTACCCCTATGACGACAAATAGGAGAGAACAAAGAAAACTATAAAACTGAAATTATGCGATTATAATTGCTGAAATGATTATGAACAATAAATAATTGTGTTCGAAACTGTGTCATCCAGTAAATAATATTACTGTTTCACTCACTGTGTGATATATCTAATAAACAAACTAATATGGAATTGCTTACTACCACAGTGCCCAAGTTTTACACATATATTAATGAGACGTTATGTCTTAACCAAAACTTTAAGTGTGAAGCCTATGTAAATAACCCAAAATCTGATATACAGCCTAGCGGATCACTGACTAGATGACGGGTCAACGAATCAGGAGTGAACAATGTACAGCAGTGCTTCAATTCAAGGTATCACAGTTCAAAAGAATACATATATAAAAGAATCATGATAAGTGGTATTGAGGTATTAAGGTAAGTAATATTGAGGTTAGACGAAGAGTGTTAGCACGTGTTACGTATGTCAAGTCATCACCTTGCTCGATGAACAATGTTAGCCGATAATGGGTTACGTTGATAAAAGGTTAGGGTTGGTTAAACCATAACATAACATCGATCTATAAAATCTTTGGCGGTAAGTTTTAGTCAGCCACGTAGGGAGGTGTAGACTGTATAATTACGATCCCCTGTATGCTTCGAATAAACGGCTGGAGACAATTGGTCACATGGCTCAAAGCTGCTCACAATGGCTGGCGCAGATGCATTCACGCCTTGTAATCTCTCTTATCTCCAAGTATTGCTTTTGTAGGGATTGGTGTTTGTCTGACATGTTGGAGGATTTCATCATGAGCTGACATCATTTGGAGAACCATTGGAAAACCAGTCAGGGAGTACTGCCAGACAGCTGTTTCGTCAGACTAGTTTGAGACACCGCTTCATTAATACGCACCCACACCACGAGATTCGAACCCAGGACCTTCTCACTACAAGGCTAGCGAGCTCGTAGACCATTTGACCACTCACTGGGACCCGACCGAATATCCAATCTATGAATTCAGACTTCTGCCGATTCATGACATAGAGCGACCATTTCGCAATATCTTCTTCTTCGATAAATTACTACCTCACCTTCAACCTGCTGCTCACTAGAGACTGGCCCTATTCAGGCAATTACCTGGGGTTCTAGTGGGAAGCCGTGACCAGTAGGATACAGCAGGTTGAAGGTGAGGCAGTAACTCATCGAGGAAGAAGACATTGCGAAGTGGTCACGCTATATCATGAATTGTCAGAAGTTAGAATTCATGGGCTGACCATTGGATCGGGTCCCAGTAAGTGGCTTAATGGACTAAGAGCTAGCTCGCTAGCCTTGTAATCAGAAGGTCCTTGGTTCAAACCCCGTGGTGTGGGTGCGTACTGCTGAAGCGGAGTCTCAAACTAGGCTGACGAAACAGCTGTCTAGCAGTACTCCCTGATTGGTTTTCCAATGGTTCTCTAACTGATGTCACCTCATGATGAAATCCTCCAACAAATCTCTCTTATCTATCAAATCTTCATGATTTTCCATGTTACCACCATTCTTTCTTCCTAACATTTCTGTTGATTACAGTCCATTTGAAACTATTTCTATCTCTCTCTCTTTTGTCAACCTTTGTGTGAATATATGGAGTATGACGAGTTGAATTGGTCAACTCATAGCCTCAATGGAGATCGAACCCAGGACCTTCAAGTTAAGAGACAAGCTGTAAACTGATATCAGTCGATAATCGAGCTTGAAACCAATCAAATACCTATATAAATCGAACACTTGAAAGCCTCGCTTATTTCATGAGAGACTTAGACAGGAATTAGCGCCACTGCCTCCGTCTAATCACTCTTTTAGTCGTTCTTCACATGCAGATACATAATACGAAACGTGTTTTAATTGACTCAGCTCATGCAGATTAACAAGTTCATTAGCTTTATTACTTGAAATAATTGAAACTTTATACCCAATCTACAGTATTATGCTCACATGATAATGCTGAATTGAGCCTGACAGCAGTTTTGGATTATCTTAGATCATAGATAACCCTTCTATGAAAGATTTGACCTATATTTTATACTGTATAAACGTGTTTATGGCTTTTCAGAGCTGCATTAAAAAAATACTTACCAATAACGAAACTAAGAATCCTTTTGATTTAGACACTAGTTAGTGACTAGTCTCATGTGTCTCGTCCTTTCTTCCTGTGCAGACTGAATTTTATCGGTAAGTCAAGTTTGCATTGTGGCCACCATGCCACTAGGTAGTGGCTCACCATCACCCTGGTGCATTGTGAATTGTTCTTATTAGATAGTTGGAGGTAATCGGTAGGAAGCCCAGCCTGA